ACATCTTCTTTATCCATTCATCTGTTGATGGACACTTAGGTTGCTTCCATGTCCTGGCTATTGTAAATAGAGCATTTGCATACTTTTGAGCAACTCTTAAATATTACAGAAAAGTAATAAACATATATGTGGAAACTACCATGCATTACCCTACTTACAGCACAGCTGAAGACTAACTTTAAAATAAGTTTGGGGACTTCCCTGGTGGTTCAGTGGTAAAGAATCCACCTTACAACACAGGGGACATGGGTTCGATCCTTGGTCAGGGAACTAAGATCCCACATGCCACGGGGCAACTAAGCCTGCACGCCACAACTACAGAGCTCGTGCCCTGGAGCCTGCACACCACAACTAGAGGAGAGAAAACCCACACACCACAACTAGAGGGCTGAACAAAGAGCCTGTTTGCCACAACGAAGACCGGACGCAGCCAAAAATAAATAATAAAATAAATTTGAATGTACATGATTGTTAGTGTATTGACTGTATTATGTCCAACGGGGACAAAAGCTCCTTCTCTGCCCCTAAACAACAAAACCTACATAATGACCAGCAGTGATTAAACAGAATCACAGACACCTGGTTTGTTTTACTTTTGTTGATAAGGTCACATGTTTGAAGGGAACACTGTTCATCAAGATGCACTTATCATTTTTCTTATTCCTAAAACAAGATGGGGTTACATTTGATTTTTTTAAATATATTTATTTATTTCGTTGTGCCGGGCCTTAGTTGCTGCAGGTGGGCTCCTTAGTTGTGGCACGTGGGCTCCTCAGTTGTGGCATGCTAACTTCTTAGTTGCGGCATGCATGTGGGATCTAGTTCCCTGACCAGGGATTGAACCCAGGCCCCCTGCTTTGGGAGCATGGAGTCCCATCCATTGCGCCGCCAGGGAAGTCCCTACATTTGATTTTTTAAGCCCATTTAAAATATAACAGGACTAGCTATAGTTCAGATGCTACTGATGTTCATTTTTTTCCCTTGAAGATATGGGACTGTTTTCTCTTGGATAATTTGTTAATATGTGGAATGTACACTTTAAATATAGATACTAGGAGAAATTACTGTTAGCCTGAATACTGTAGCTAAGTATAAGTATCTTTAGAACCTCCTTCTAAATAAAGAATGTTTCTGAAAAGTTCCAAATCTTTTTCATAGAACTGTGGGTTCTGGTTAACTGTCGGTCCAGACAGTCATTTGTCTGTATCTCTGGTGATGAGAAATGATTCCTCCTAACCTTCCAATGAAATAAGTGGACACACAGCTCTCATTCTCTCCTTCTATTCCTGAAACATTAGTCATGGACACATGCATGTTATTAAAAATTAAGTTGAAAACACTTAAAATAATTCTGTATTAGAAAATTGACTCTGTTGTAAGTCTCTTCTTTTTGGAAGTCATATTAAACTTGTTAAACGCTCCAATTCTACTGCTAACATTTAGAAAGCAGAAGAATATTCTACCTAGTTCTAACTGTAGGTTAGTAACTACAACACTGACCCCTGGTTGGCTATGTGGGTTCAGTAAGGCCTGCTGCTCTTCCTCTGGCAGAATTTGCTCCTGGATTCTGTAGTTCATTCTTTGGCAGCTTTTTAGCTATTACTGTGAATATTTCATTTACATTTATTGATGTTTGAGCTGATGTCTTCGTCAATAACTTGTCATCTGCATAGGACTGCGCTTCCTGGAAATCTCAGCCCTTTTATTCCAGGTCGGCCTTGTTTCCCGGTAAAGCTATGACTATGTTAGGACTCACTTGCCTCTGAAGTTCTTTAACCCAGTTTTTTGCTCTTGCAAAGGACTCCTCATTTATGATATCATATGCAACTAATAGCTGCCTGTAGTCCTCTGTAGTACATCGGTGCTAGGCTATCATTCTTGACCAGCTGTATCTCATGTCCCATATTTCACACAGCTTAAAAAAACAGCCCCGGGGCTTCCCTGGTGGCGCAGTGGTTGAGAGTCCGCCTGCCGATGCAGGGGACACGGGTTCGTGCCGCGGTCTGGGAGGATACCACATGCCGCGGAGCGGCTGGGCCCGTGAGCCATGGCCGCTGAGCCTGCGCGTCCGGAGCCTGTGCTCCGCAGTGGGAGAGGCCACAACAGTGAGAGGCACACGTACTGCAAAAAAAAAACAAAAAACAGCCCCGGTGGTACTCTCTTGAAATTCATGAAAGTGGTCCTTCACAATACGAAGCACCAGGTTTGATATGCCAACAGCAGGCTCTCCCAGAAGTACTAGTTTGTACCAGCGTACTGTATTTTATTTCCAGTGTTTGGCCCGGTGGGTTTTGTTGCTCCTTGATTAGCCATGTTTAAATTTGAAAGAAGTCCCTAATTTCAGTCTCTTAGATCAGTTTCCAGGATGCGAGGTGTCAATTTTTCTCTTTCTGGAACTAAAGGAACCTGAGACCACACATGCAGGGCTGTGGGGCTGAAGCTACCTGGCAGCAGATCCCAGGCATAGCCCGAAGGACAAGAGAGAAGCTGAAGCTGTGGCTTTGGTGAAGGCAGTGTCTCCTCCTCCCATTGATTTCCAATTTAATTCCATGTGGTTAGAGACCATATTCTGCATGATTTCAGTTCTTTTAAACTTCTAGACTTATTGCCCAGCATATAGTTTTTCTTATGCACTGAGTATGATCTGTAATTGTTAATTAGATCAACTAAATTGAAGGTTGTTCATGCCTTCTGTATCCTTACTGATTTTCTCTACTTGTTCTATCCATTACGGAGAGAAGGGCATCAAAATCTTTTTCTCTAATTGTGGATTTGTCTGTTCATCCTTGTAGTTCAACCAGTTTTTGCTAAGAAGTAAAATACATGAATACTTTGAAGCTCTGTTTTTAGGTGCATAAAGTACATTTAGGATTGTTATATTTTCTTGATGATTGACCCTTTTATTTTTGTGTAATGTCCTTCTTTATCCCTGACAATATTCCTTGTCCTGAAATGCACTTTTTTTGTGTGTGTGGTACGCGGGCCCCTTACTGCCGCGGCCTCTCGCACCGCGGAGCACAGGCTCCGGACGCGCAGGCCCAGCGGCCATGGTTCACGGGCCCAGCCACTCCGCGGCACGTGGGATCCTCCCAGACCGGGGCACGAACCCGCGCCCCCCGCATCGGCAGGCAGACTCTCAATCACTGCGCCACCAGGGAAGCCCCTGAAGTCCACTTTTTGAGTATTAATATAGCCACTCCATATTTATTGTTATTAACATTTGTATACATTTTCCCATCCTTCTACTTTTATCTCTGTGTTTATATTTAACGTTTCTTGTAGATAGTATATAGTTAAGTGTTGATATTTTATCCAGTCTGTCAATCTTTTGCGGTACGTGGGCCTCTCACTGTTGTGACCTCTCCCGTTGCGGAGCACAGGCTCCGGACGCGCAGGCTCAGCAGCCATAGCTCACGGGCCCAGCCGCTCCGTGGCATGTGGGATCTTCCCAGACTGGGGCACGAACCCGTGTCCCCTGCATCAGCAGGCGGACTGTCTACCACTGCGCCACCAGGGAAGCCCAGACTATTTACTTTTAATGTAAATATAGATTTGGTTGGTTTGGTTTAAATCTCTCCATCTTGCTACTTTTCTTCTGTGTTTTTTTCTATTTGTCCCATCTAATCTTTTTTCTTTTTTCTGCCTTATTTTGGATAAATGGAATATTTTTTAATCATTCCATTTTATCTCCATTTTTGGCTTATTAACTATACCTCTCTCTTTATAAAAAATTGTTTGCTTTAGGGTTTACAATTTTAACTTATCATAGTCTAACTTCAAATAATATTATTGTATACCATGAATAATGTATGAATCTTATATCAGAATAGTTCACTTCTTTCTCCTCCCCTTTATGCTATTCTTGCCATACGTTTATTAACTTTACATGTTTTGCTTATGTTATAAACACTACCATATATTATTGTTACTTTTGCTCTGAACAGCCAGTCATATATTTTTTACATTATTATTTATTTTAATTGTGGTAAAATGTCCATAACATAAAATTTGCCATCTTAACCGTTTTTAATTGTACACTTCAGTGACATTAAGGACATTCACATTGTTGTGTTACCATCACTACTATCCATCCATAAATCTCTTCATGTTGCAAAACTGAAACTCTGTGCCTCTTAACAATAACTCCCCATTCTTCCCTTCTCCCTACCCCAGGCAACCACCATTCTATTTCTGTCTCTGTGGGAATCTCTGCTGCGTCCTATGGTCTCTACGCTTTGGTTGGTTGGAATGCAGTGTCTCCCCACCCTCTGCGAAATTTCAGAATTTCTCATCTTTCACTTCCCTTGTAATTCTTTGTCTGGTCTTGTGGAGTTACATCTTACGCTTATTTTAGTATTCAACAAAAATTCAAGGGGACTCCATTTCAGACTTCTAGAACTCTTTCTACGAAGTTCCTTCCTTTCTGGAACATAGCACTGTGACTTCTAGCTACTTAAGCCTCCCTTATCTTCTGTCTCTGTTTTCTCACTTAAGCAGAACCACTGTGCTTTGGATCTTCTTCCCTGCACTTGGTCCAGAATGGGCCTCCAGACAGAATGCCAGGAGAATTATCCATTTAGGTTTATAATCTATTTCAATTTAATATTTGTAGGATGGTATGAGGTAGGGGTCAAGATTCAGTTTTTTCTATATAGATACACAGTTGTTTCAGTACCATTTGCTGAAAAGACAGTCTTATCCCCATCAAATTATATTGGCACCTTTATTTTAAAAAGTGTGTGTCTGTTTCTGGACTCCATCCCTTTCCATTGATCTTTGTCTGTTTTCACACTAATACTATATTATGGCTTATGACATGAATTTATGAAAGATCTAATGAGTGGTTCTGATGTGATATAAATATTTCATTTGACTTGATATAATCTTGTTTTGAAAAACTAATTTGAAATATAGTATTTCTACTAACTTGAATATAACGTTATACTAGGTCATTTAAAAAATGAATGAAGATATTTACTTTAAACATACTTGTCTTACAGAGACCTGTTAATAAAAGTGAAGTTTGGAGAGAGCATTGAGGACTTACAGACCTGCCGACTCTTAATTAAACAGTACATCCCGACAGGACTTTTTGTGGATCCGTATGAGTTGGCTTCATTACGAGAGAGAAACATAACAGAGGTACAAGTGTTAGAGGGACTTTTTTTGAGAGAGAAATTATTGTAGGGATGCTATAATTTGGATTAAGGCAAAATAGGTAAGACAACATTGTAGTACTTTTGTATTGATTTTTTTAAAGTGTATAAAGTAACCTTTTAAAGATAGGACGGGAGTATTCTTTATAAAGTGAGTGATACCTGTCATACTTGTCAGTAATAAGCCAACTAAACTGATGTTGTTAAAGCTTCTGTTTGAGAAGATTAATAGTTAATAAATACTGCTTCAACAACAACTTTGTTAAATTGACATATACCCCAACACCTGTATAATTTGGGTATGGGCGGAAACAAAACACATATTTATTGGATATCTGTATGACAAATATCTTCTTTTTTTTTTAAAGGAAGCAAGGTAAAATTAAGCATTATAAGAAAGATTATGTCCCACACCCTTTACATAGATTAATCTTATAACAACCTTGGAAAGATTGCATTCTATAGTTAAGGAAACAGGCACAGAGAGGCCAAATAACTTATCCAGGATCACATAGGCAAATGGAAAAGCCAAGAAAATGACTCCAGGATTGTCTGATTGCAAAGCTGTCGTTCTTTTGGGAAATAAATCTTACTCCTTAGTTAAGGGTTTCGCTGACTTTGATAAGAATCACCCGTGCAGGTTATTGTCTGCCTGGGAATGTTTAATTCAGCAGTTCATATTGGACCCCAAAATCTGTTAATGACTCAAGTGAAAGAATTTTCTGGGAACACTGTCTTAATTCATAGGATTATAATCTATGTATGAATTTCTAAAAGACAAAATGGATATACTTAGAGTCATTTATGATGGCGGTTTATTTCTAATTGTGGTTTAGGCCATATTTCTTCACCTGTTTTATTTACTTAAGTTTGTTTTTGAGTAGGTAATTACATTCTCATAATTCAAAATTCAGGGGGTGTAAAAATGTATACATGATAAGCTTCCACCTATTTTTTAACCCCCAGTCACCATTTCTTCCTGTGTTCTGGAAATATAGTGTTTTTGGAATCATAAGTTTCACTCAGTCAAAATGTGTTAGGACTTCTGCCTTGGCCAAGTTGGAGAACAGGGACCAGATTTACTTTCCCACTTGAAACAACCAAGAAATAGACAAAATATATGAAATAATGGAAAAAATAATTGAATATCGTGCAGTGAAGGCAGTGATATCTTAGAGATGGGAAATAAATAAGGTTAGCCCTTCAGTTGTCCTAGCTTTTTGCATGAGAGTTTTCAGGCTATAGTACAGGGAGGGTGAACCCAAGCAGAGCCTGGTGGACTTCTTGAGTTGAGGAGATAAAGGTAAGATTTGGGAAAGACCAAAGTCACTAGAATTCACTAGACAGTGTACCAGAGAGGAGAGAACTGCAAAGAGACAAACTGCAGAGATCCGTAGAGGTTCCTCTCAAGTACGTAGTTGAGTATTAATTAATGCATGCATGTGAGGAAACTGCTTGATGCTGGGAAAAGAACCATATGAAAACACTAGAGGCCACAGTGTCTCACACCGGCTCAGTTGTAGTGCCTGTTCCCACCAACCAGACTAGGAAAATCCTCGTAATTCACTGGGCATTGGATAGATTAAACAGAAGAACTTTTTCTCAGTAGTGGGGAATACTAAGCCCTAGACTGCACATTGCTTCAGTCCTGCTTAACAAATTTCAAAACCAAGACCTTCCAAAAATCAAACTGTTGCAAGTAAATTTACTGCATTCCAAACAAAGCTCAAGAATATTTATAGGAATGCAGAAATATCTAGCACCCAAAAAGATCAAAATGTCTTGACTCTAATAAAAAGTTTGCAAGGATGCAAGGATGTGGGAAAATATGACCTGTAATGAGGAAATCAGTGAATCAGTCAAAACTGATGCAGAACTGACCCAGATATTAGAATTAACAAGACAGGCCAAGAAAATAGTTATTATAACTGCGTTCCATATGTTCAAAAAGGTAAGTAGAGAAATGGAAGATATATGAGAGGACAGTTGACCTTTTAAAGATTAAGACTAAAAAGTGTGAGATGGAAAATATTCTGGATGAAATTAATGGCAGATCAATGCAGAAGAAAAGATTAATGAACTTGAAATCATAGCAATAGAAACTACCAAAAATATAAAAGAGATAAAAAAAGAAATGTAAAAAGTGAGTGGAGCATTAGTGAGTTGTGGGACAACTTCAAGTGGCCCCCACAGTAAGTGTAACTGGGCTGCTTCCAAGAGACGTCTGCACCCCTGCATTCATTGCAGCACTGTTTACAATAGCCAGGGTATGGAAACAACATAAGCATCCATCAGTGGATGAACAGACAAAGAAGTGTGAGAGAGAGAGATAGATATGAAAATGAGAGCTATATATAAATGTGTATATACATGTGTGTGTATGTGTGTACAAATATGTGTATATACACATAAATATGTATACACACACACAGACACACAGTGGAATGTTATTCAGCCATAAAAAAGAAAATCCTGCCATTTGCAACAGAACACATGAACTGTGAGGACATTATGCTAGGTAAAATAAGTCAGAGAAAGACAAATATTGTATGATCTCACTTATATGTGGAATCTAAGAAAAACTGAACTCAGAAACAGAGAGTAGATTGTTGGTTTCCAGGGGTGAGAATGTGGGGAAAATGGGTGAATGTAGTCAAAGAGTACAAACTTCCACTTATAAAATGAGTAAGTTCTGAAAATCTAATGTATAGCATGGTAACTATAGTTAACGATACTGTATTGTATACTTGAAACTTGCTAAGAGAGTATACTTTAAAAGTACTCACCTCACACACACACACACACACACATAAAGGTAATTATGTGAGGTGATGGATGTGTTAACTAATCTTATTATGGTAATCATTTTGTAATATATACATGTATCAGATCTTCATGTTGTACACCTTAAACTTACACAATGTTGTATGTCAATTATATCTCAATAAAGCTGGAGGGGAGGTGTAACAGGAGTCCACAAGGAGAGAGGAAAGAGATGGAGATGGAAAAAATATTTGGAGAAATAATGGCTGAGGGACTTCCCTGGTAGTCCAGTGGCTAAGAATCCTCCTTCCAATGCAGAGGATGCAGGTTCAATACCTGCTTCGGGAACTAAGATCCCACATGCCACAGGACAACTAAGCCTGTGCACCATAACTGGTGAGCCCGCATGCCTCAACTAGAGAGCCCGTGTGCCACAAACTATAGAGCCCACGCTCTCTAGAGCCTGCGTGCCACAACTAAAGAGCCCATGCACTCTGGAACCCATGTTCTGCAACTAGAGAGAAGCCTGCGCGCTGCAATGAAGAGCCTGCGTGCCATAACGAAAGATCCTACATGCCACAGTGAAGATCTGGTGTGTCGCAAGTAAGACCCAACGCAGCCAGAAAGAAAGAAATAATGGCTGAGAAATTTTCAAATTTGATGAAAACTATAAGCCCACATATCTACGATGCTCAAGTACAAGAAATATGAAGGAAACTACACCAAGGTACATGATAATCAAATTGTTTAAAACAATAATAATGAGAAAATCTTAAAAGCATCAAGATGAAAAAACCACATGTAAAATGCAGAGGATCAAAGATAAGAATAACAGCAGATTTCTTGTCAAAAATAATGCAAACAAGAAAATGGAGTAGCATCATCTTTAAAGTATTGAAAAAAACCTGTGAATTTAAAATTCTGTAGCCAGTGAAAATACCTTTCAAGGTGAAGGTGAAATAAAGACTTTTTCAGACGTACAGGCTGAAAGAATTCGTTACCATCAGACCTCCAATACAAGAAATGTTAGAAGAGGTCCTTCAGGCAGAAGGAAAATGATACCAAATGAAATTTATATGTACACCAAGGAAAGACTAGCACTTGAAATATAACTACTGGGTAAATAGGACTTTTTTCTCTTTATTTAAATTTTTCCAAGATAATTGACAAAAAATAATAACAATGTAGTGTAGCCATTCTTAACCATGTCTAAGAATAAAATGTATGATAGCACTATCACAAAAGTTGGGGAGTGAAAAATGAAATACACTTTTGTAAGGTTGTTATACTAAATGTAAGGCAGCTTAATATCACTTGAAGGTAGACTCTGCTACATTAAAGATGTTTACTGTAAACCCTAAAGTAACCACAAAAATGACAAAATAGAGTTGTAGTTAATATGCCAGCAAAGCGGATTAAATGGACCTATAAAAAACATTCAGTTACCTGGAAAGAAGGCAGAGAAAGAAGATAAAGGGAACAAAAAATAGATGTAAGATATAGAGAACAAGATGAATTAAACTTAACCATATCAATAAGCATATTAAGTGTAAATGTCTAAATATCTCCATTGAAAGTCAGAGATTTTCAGATTGGATAAGAAAGCAAGACCCAACTGTATGTTGCATACAAGAAATGAACTTTAAATTTTAAAACAAAAGATAGAACATGCTCACACTGATCAAAAGAAAGCTGAAGTGGCTATATTAATATTAGGCAAAGGGATTTCAGAGCCAAGACTATCACCAGTGCTAAGGAGGGTCATTTTGATTAAGGGATCAAGTAATCAGAAGGAAATAATAATCCTAAACATTTATGCCACTAATAACAGAGATTCAAAATGCACAAAGAAAAACTGGTAGAACTATAAGGTGAAATAGGTGAATCCACAGTTATAGTTGGAGATTTCGGTACCCTTCTCTCAATAATTGACATAATAAGTAGACAGAAAATTGATAAGGATATGGAAGATTTGAACAAAACTATCAACCAACTTGACCTAATTAGCATTCATGGAACACTCCACCTGACAACAATAGAATACACGTCCTTTTTTTAGGTGTACATGGAATATTTACCAAGATAGATCACTCTAGGCCATAAAACAAGCCTCAATAAATTTAGAAGAATTCAAGATGTGCCAAGAATATTCTCTGACTACAAAGGAATTCAGTTATAAATAAAGAAGAGAAAGATCTCTAGAAAACCCTCAAACATTTGGGAACGAATTAGCATACTTCTAAGAAATCCATGGTCAAAGGAGAAATCCATGGTCAAAGGAGAAATCAAAAGGGAAATAAAGAATTTTGAACTGAATGGAAATGAAAATACAAAATATCAGAACTAGTGGGGGTACGGCTAAAGCTGTTTAGAGGGCAATTTGTAGCACTAAAATGCTTATTTTAGAAAGAAGAGAGGTCTCAGTCAGTGTTTTCAGCTAAGCCTCCTTAATCTATGAAAAGAAGAGCACATGAAACCAAAGTAGAAGAATATAAATAGTGAAGCTCATAGAAGAAATTAATGTACTAGAAAACAGAAACACAATAGGGAAAGCCAGTGAAACCAAAACCTTGTTCTTTAAGAGGGATAAAATTGATAGACCCTTAGCCTGACTGATTATAAAAAAAATAAGTACTGTTAGAATTAACATCCCTGTGTCAGAAAAGTATTATACATTTCATTTTTTATAAAGTTTTACATTTTTAGATTGTACAAGTTATTCAAAGATACCAATTACTGTGTCTTAATTGGGGAATGTTTGGGGTTGTTTTGAAAGAGCTCTAGCCTATGAGAGAAAGATCTGTTGAATGTTACAGATATCGTACAAGTTTTATAGCTTAATTCATTTAACTTTGCTCTGGTGGTTTATGACACGTGTAGTTGAGTGTTGTCATGAAAAAGTATAGGTCCATGTCTGTTAACCAGTGCATGTTGCTCTAGGATTAATTTTTGATGCATAATTTCAATTTCTTGATAACATTCTATTGCTATTGTTTTATCATGGTGAAAGTGGAACAATGAATTCTGACGTTTGTGGATCAGCGTAGAGTCACTGGACTTTTTGGGGTTGCATTGATGGTTTGGCATGTGTTTGGGAGATTTACCAGCATCTAGCTATTGTCTAGATCACTTTTGATTGTCAGGTTATGATTTTCAAAAATATTTCTCTATTATTTTGAATCTAAAGTGATACACATACCTGTAACTCTCTTGAGATTTTGATCAACTCTCAATTGGTATACCTATTTGTACATTTCCCCCTCTTCCCTATTGTAGCTAGGTGTCAAGAAATTCATAGCCTAAACTCCTGAGTCGGCTCCAGCACCTCAGACTGTTGTTTGTGGACTAGCTTCTGCTGGTTCTTAGTTGATCTTGGTTTAAAATGGATTTGGGTCTCTGTTGAGGTTCATTAAAAAGAAATTATCCCCATTTAAAATTTTGAGACATAATTCACATGACATAAAATTCACCCTTTGGAAATGTGTAATTTAGTAGTTTTTAGTATATTCATAAAGTCGTGCAACCATCACCACTATCTAATTCCAGATATTTTCATTACTTGCAAAAGAAAACCCCTATAAGGCTGATTTTTGAGATTCAGATACCCAGAATACAATTTTTTGAACCGTCACCAAATAATCCTTTGACCAACAGGGCCCTACCTGTTGTTCTGGCCCTACCAGAATGCCGTGTAGCAATTTGCCTCATTTTCATTATATCCCAGCTTAAATTCATATTAAAAATATTCTCAATTTTTGGCAAGTGACCATATTTTTATTTCTATGGAAAAATAAGCAATAAACAAACAAAAATAAACAAAACAGCTCAATAATTAGAGAAGCTGAAGATCATAGTACCATCATAAATTCTAAATAGCACAATCAGGAATATACTTTATGTTCTACTTATTACACTTAATTTTCAACTAGATAAACATGGGCTATTTTATATTATTTAACCTAATTGAATAGGAGAGTCAGTTTGACCTGGCTTCGAATCTTGTCTCCTTTACTTACTAGCTACAGTATATTGTTTATCCACCCTGATACTTTGTTTGCTCATTTATATAATGGGGCTAAGAGTTCCTACCTGATAGGATTCTTGTGAAAATTAAAGGAGATAACATATATAAACCACTTGGTGAAATACCTAAGTGCTCAAAGAAAGTTATCTTTATTATCTTGTCATCTGTGTTGACAAGATAGAAAATTTGGGCTTATGTGTTTTTTTGATTTGTAACTAGTTGTACCCAAAGAGAGTTTATTAATAAATTTCTAGCAGGAGGTCTCTAGTAAAATTCCTTAGGGGTTTGCTCTTGTGATCCTCCTGGTCAACATTTTTATCCTTAGATAAAAATACAGAAGACACAGTTATCAAGTTCATAAATGTTACATTAATGCTGGTTGACAGATTGGGATTTCAATTAAATCTCAATAGCCTAGAAAAAATGGACTGTAGCCAGAAAGATAAATTTAATAGAGAGAGATATAAAGCCCTGCATTTAATTAGTAAAACATCAATTACTCGATAAAATAGGATGGGAGTTATTTAAAGTTTTGTGCAAAAAGTTCAAATGAAAAATATAGGGATGAATAGGCAGAGCACAGGGTCTGTGAAATTATTCTGTATGATACTGTAATGATGGATACGTGTCATTTTACATTTGTGAAAAATCCATAGAATATACAATGTAAAGAGTGAAACCTAACTTAAACTATGGACTTTAGTTAATAATAATGTTCATCAGTTGTAACAAATGTACCAAACTGTTGTTAATAATAGAAAAAACTCTGTGTGTGTGTGGGAGCTGTGGGGAGTATGTGGGAATGCTGTTATTTTCTGCTCAGTTTTTCTGTAAACCTAAAACTGCTCTAAAAAATGAAATCTATTAATTAAAAAAATAATATATAGAGAGATAGTATATAGATATGTGTCACACTGAAATGAGGCTGCTAAAAAGCTAATGCAATTTTTACACCTAGAAACTGAAAAAAAAAAGCTAATGTAATTTTTGCTAAAGAAGGTAGTGTTGCTACTATTTCCTCTGAGTATTTTGAAAGGCAACTGATACGATGCATGGTTTAGAGACCATGTCATGAGAAACCAAGAAAACTGCATATTTCTTTGGGGAGGAGAAAACTTAGTGGGGGCAGTGTGGTTGCCTTCTGATGTATAATGGACCCTTAGTAAAACAGAGGACGTATTTATTGCAGATATTGTAAGCATCGACAATTGGTGAATTATTATGGGTCAGAGCATCAAGTTTCTACTAATAAAAAAGGAATAATTTTAACAGTACATAAAGTGAGATGACTTAAAGTAATAAACTCCCTTCCAGTCATTGAAAGCATTAAAATAGTGGCTGGATACTTGATAAATACTCTCATTGGAACAGTGGTTTAACTTGATTACCTCTAGGTTCCTTATGACTCAAGATTATATAATTCCTTGACCTTTACCAATAAGTTCTACTACTCCTGTGATGAACAGAGAAGAAACAACATGTGAAAATATAGCACTTGGTATCACTGTCAAATAGAAGAATTAGAATGCTCGCTGTGGTGGGTAGAAGTTAATGCTATTTTTTTCTCTTTCCATAAAGAATCTAGAGAAAACTTGCGTATGTGTATGCATACACACACACACGAACACAGATTATGTATATAATGTTGATATACATGTGTATGTGTGTGCATATGTATATATGTGTGGTTTCATACATAAATATGTATGTTATGTGTATATGGATACGTTTGTAAGTTAGGGCTAATTTCTGCCACATGTGCAGTTTTACTTTTGGTGTAGAATACTTATTTTTAAATGTTTTTTACCATATTATTTTTTAAAAGAATCA